GTATACTCATTGAAATAAAAAAACAATTTACAGGGAAACAAATGTAGAGTAGATAAAGCTGAGAATCAAATCAATGGTTTGGAACACAAGGAAGCAAAAAAAAAAAACAAAACAAAAAAACAATCAGAACAACCAAAAGAATAGAATATCTAAAAAAATGAGGATAATGCAAGTAGCCTATAGGATATTTTTAAGTAATCCCACATTGGCTTCATAGGGGTGCCAGAAGGAGAAGAGAAAGAGAAAGAAACTGGAAATCTATTTGAAAAAATAATGAAAGAATAGTTCCCTAATTTGGTGAAGGAAATAGATATGCAAGTCCAGGAAATGCAGAGAGCCAAACAAGATGAATGCAAAGAGGCCCACACCAAGACACATCATAATTAAAATGCCAAAAGACAGAGATAAAGAGATGGGAGGGGTGGTGCGGGAAAATGATTAAGAGGTGAGGGGATTAAGAAGTACAAATAGGTTGGTACAGAAAAGCCACGGGGATGTAAAGTACAGTATAGGAAAGGATGTAGCCAAAGAATTTATACTCATGATCTCAGAACATGAACAAGGATGGGGGGATTGCCTGAGGGAGTGGGGCAGTGCTGGGTGGAAGGGGCAAAGGGGAAAAATCAGGACAACTGTAACAGCATAATCAGTAAAATATTATTTAAATAAAATAAAATCGCATCAAAAAGAATAAAATACTTAGAAATAAACTTAATCAAGTAGATGAAAGATGTGTATGGTAAAAACTAAAAAACAGGTCCTACCTAAAGAGGCTCAGTGGATTGAGTGCCAGCCTACGAACCAATGGTTCGATTCCCAGTGTAGGGACACATGCCTGGGTTGTGGGCCAGGTCCCCAGTAGGGGGCACATGAAACACAACCACACATTGATGTTACTCTCCCTCTCTTTCTCCCTCCCTCCTCTCTCTAAAAATTTAAAAAAAAAAAACCACTGCTGAAAGAAATTAAATGAAAATACATCCCATGTTCATAAATTAGAAGACAATATTGTTTGGAAGATTTAATACTGTTAAGATATCCGATTCTATCCAATGATTCCATGGATTCAATGCAAGCCCTATCAAAATCTCAATGATTTTTGCCCAGACCATTCAATGGGCAAAGGACACTCTTTTTTAAAAAAGTAGATTGAGAAAACTAGGTATCCATATGCAAAAAGAATGAAGCTGAACCTTTCTCTAACACCATATACAAAAACTAACTCAAAATGGAGTAAACTAATTTTAAAAGCTAAAATACAGAACTCTTAGGAGAAAAAACATGGGAAGTTTCATGTCATTGAATTTGACAGTAATTTATTAGATATGATACCATAAACACAGGTAACAAAAAAATTATCTATTTTTTTACTGTCTTTATCAAGAGAGTAAAAGTCCAATGCACAGTATTAGACAAAATATTTCATATAATGTACCTGATCAAGGAATAATATCCAAAATATATAAAGAACTACAACTCAAAAAAAAAAACAAAAAAAGAAAACAAACTGATTAAAAATAGACAAAAGGAAAGGAGACTGGGGAGGCAGAAGGATCAAGCAAAGAAAAAGAACTCATGGGCATGAACAAGTGTCGTGATTACAGGGGGAGGGCAGTGAGTGGAGGTGGAAGAGGGTATTGGGAGATAAGTGGTAATGGAAAAAATCCAATAAAAATGAACTGTTTTAGAAAGGAGAAGAAAAGAGAGGAAGGGAAGGGAAGGGAAGGGAAGGGGGAAGGGGAACAGGAAGGGAAACGGAAGTCGGGTTGGCAAGGACATGGAGAAATACAAACACTTGTGCATTGCTGGTGGGAATGAATAATGGCACAACTGCTATGGCAAGCACCATAGTGGTTCCTCAAAACATTAAACAGAGAATTACCATACTCAACCAATTCTATTTCTGAGTACATACCCAAAAGTCCTGAAAACACAGACTTGAACACATGTATGTATACCAATGTTCATAGAAGCATTATTCATCATAACCAAAAGGTAAAAACAAACCAAGTGCCCTTCAAATGATGAACAGATAAACAAAATGTAATACTCTCCCAAATCAAACACACGGTATATTTTCAACCTTCAAAAAAGAAATTTTGACATTTGATACAACGTGGATGAATCTTAAAGACATTATACTAAGAAAAACAAGCCAGACACAAAAGGACAAATGCTGTAGATTCTAATCATATGAAGTACCTAAAATAGTCAAATTCATAGGAAAAAAAGTAGAATGCTGGTTCCTGGGGGATGGCAGGAGAGGGGGGAATAAGGACTTAATGTTTAATGGGAACAGAGTTTCAGTTTGGGGAAAAAAGAGTTTTGGAGATGGATAGTGGTGATGGTTGAACAACACTATAAATGTACTTAATGTCATGGAGCTCTACAATTAAAAATGGCTAAAATAGTAAATTTTGTTGTGTGTATTTAAGCACATAATAAAAAAAATTTAAAAACATTAACAATTCACTTCCGGCCAACATAGAGATATAGGTAGATACACTTTGCATCCTTGCACAACTAAAAGAAGGACAACAACAAATTTAAAAACAAAAAATAATCAGAACTGCCAGAATATAAAACTGTATGGAAGTCCAACAACCAAGGAGTTAAAAAAGAAACATTCATCCAGACTGGTAGGAGAGGCAGAGATGGGCAGGCAGAGCCAAAAGGACATGCCTGGCAAAGAGGTTGCGAGAGGACTGGGCAGTGGCTGGTAGACTGGGAGATCCCACATTTGCCTGTAGACAATATGGGAAGAACAACTGAGGAGCTAGACAGAACCATGCAACCTAGGGTTCCAGCCCAGGAAAAGAAAGTCTCAAAACCTCTGCCTGTAAAAATCTGTGGGGGTTACTGCAGTGCAAGAAACTCCCAGCCTCACAGGAGAGTTCACTGGAGAGACCCACAGGGTCCTGGAATGTACACAAACCCACCCACCCAGGAATCAGCATGAGAAGGGCCCAATTTGTTTGTGGGTAGTGGGGTGACTGAAAGCCAGCCAAGAGCGGAGCAAGAGATATTATTCCCTCTCTGACCCCTCCCCCACATACAGCGCCACAATGTAGCCACATGGGTTGCCCCGCCCTACTGAATACATAAGGCTCCAACCCTTACAACATAACAAGAGTACTGAGACACAGAAATATGGCCTACATGAAAGAATAGATCAAAACTCCAGAAAAAAATACAACTAAGTGATGAAGAGATAGTCAACCTATCAGATTGGCAGAGTTCAAAACACTGGTAATCAGGATGCTCATAAAAATGGTTGAAGATGGTCACAAAATAGAGAAAAAAATGAAGTCTATGCAAAGTGAAATAAAGAAAAATATATAGGGAACCAACAGTAAAGGGAAGGAAACCAGGACTCACATCAACAGTTGAGAGCAGAAGGAAGAAATAAACATTCAACCAAAACAAAACGAAGAAACAAGAGTTCAAAAAAATGAGGAGAGGCTTAGGAACCTCTGAGACAATTTTAAATGTTCTAACATCCAAATCATAGGGGTGCTAGAAGGAGAATAGGAATAGCAAGAAATAGAAAACATTGGAAAAAATAATGAAGGCCTTCCCCAATCTGGCAAAGGAAATAGACTTCCAGGAGATCCAGGAAGCTTAGAGAGTCCCAAAGAAGTTGGACCCAAAGAAGCACACACTAAGGCACATTATAATTACATTACCCAAGATTAAAGATGAGGAGAGAATATTAAAAGCAGCAAGAGAAAAGGAGACAGTTACCTACAAAGGAGTTCCCACAAGACTGTCAGCTGATTTCTCAAAAGAAACCTTACAGACAGAAGGGGCTGGAAAGAAGTATTCAAAATCATGACAGGCAAGGACCTACATCCAAGATTACTCTATCCAGCAAAGCTATCATTTAGAATGGAAGGGCAGATAAAAGTGCTTCCCGGATGAGATAAAGTTAAAGGAGTTCATCATCATCAAGCCCTATTAAATGAAATGTTAAAGGACTTATCTAAGAAAAAGAAGAATATCAAAACTATGAACAACAAACTCACAACCATCAACAACTGATCCTAAAAACAAAAACAAACTAAGCAAACAACTACAACAGGAACAGAATCACAAAAATGATGATCACATGGAGGGTTATATCAGTGGAGAGGAGGAAGAGGGAGAATGGGGAAGAAGTTACAGGGAATAGGAGGCATAAATGGTAGGTACAGAATTGACAGGGGGAGGTTAAGAATAGTATAGGAAATGGAAAAGCCAAGGAATTTATATGTTTGACTCATGGGCGTGAAGTAAAGAGGGGGGAACGCTGGTGGGAGGAGGGGTGCAGGATGGAGGGGAATCAAGGGGAGAAAAAATGGGATAACTGTAAGAGCATAATCAATAAAATATGCTTTTAAAAAAACATATTAACAATCCCAGTCTCTAGGAAGTGAGACTAAGTGATTTATTTCCTTTTTAAAATTGTTTATCTCTGTTTTCAAGATGTTTTCACAATCTTTTATTACTATCTTAATAATAAAAGAAAAAACTTTTTTTTAAAGAAAGAATATCAGCATTACATTTTGCTATTGTACCTGTTTTGGCTATCTATAATTTTATTTATGTTTTATGCAAATTTTTACTTTTACATATGAGAACAGAACACATAATAAATAGATATATAAAAAGAAAACAGATTTAAAGAGATGACATATTCAACATATAACACACTAATTTTTGGAAAGCCATCATTTTAATCAGCGAGTGTTATTTACAAGCTGCAATGGAAAGCAATCCATCCGTGAAATATAAGAAAACTATCAAATGCTTCCCTCTTCCCAACCAAAATATGCTGGTATGTCAGGTATTATAAATTAAGCATAAATAAAACTGTAAACTATTTTTTCTTATAAGTTCTCTAAAATGAATATGTCTTTTCGCTCATCCAAACCCAAAACAGATACACACACACATACACACACACACAAACACACACACACACACACACACACACACACACACAAATCCCCAAGACTCACCATTGTCCTCTTCAAAGGAAACAAAGTCAATGAAAAACATCGTTTGGAAGCACCATCATCTTCTCTATCTACCTTCCACCCTGAGTCTCCCACAAATTTGCCCAGCTAAAAACAAAAACAGAAAAAAATATACAAGCCAGAATTTGTGTACAGGACACACGTACAAATAACTAAGTTTGAGCATATTATCATAAGTATCAGCAATTTAGCCTTATATTTTATGCAGAGTAACAACCACCAATAATTTCTGAAAACTACACTGTTCTTTGCAGAAATGCAAAACTGAAGAACATGGCACAGTTCAATTCTATTTTCTCCAGAACCTTATCTTTACAGAGTAAACATATGTGTGAGAGTAACCTTTACACTCTCAGGAACATTCACAAACAAATCCACCAACGCTGTATTCAAGAAGGGCACAGAAATGTTCAGGGCTGAGGATGCTGCCATAGTCAACAGTAGTAGTTACTGTTTTTAAATTTGTTTCAGGAAGCTCAACCACTCTAAACTTGTGAAACTAGACAAGATAAGAAAAGAAATATTATTTTATCCACTCATCCCTCACCTTTATAGAATTTCTAACTAGAGATCCCCTTAAACAAACTCATTAACCTCATATTTCTTCAAAGTAATAGCCAATACAATTAATCAGTGGAGTAAATATTTTAAACATTTAAGATGCTTAAGCAAATAAAGCACAGGCCAAGAATTTCATATTTAAACAAATATTCCTTCAAGTATAAAGACCACAAAATAATAGATCTGAACACATCAAAACTCAGGATATATTGTCCCCTGTAATCCAAGAGACAAGTGGAGAAACAAAACAAAAAACCAGACAATTAAATTCATGTAACTGTAAAATTAGGATTAAAACATATATAAGTATTAGAGCAATACATCAAATATAAATTTTATAATGTGTGACAATGCAAAAGTTGTGGAAATGGAGAACAATAAAAGTTGCTGGGTAATAGGGTAATGTCACTGATTGCTTAGTGACTGAGTATCAAATGATATCATTCAAATGTGATAAGAAAAAAGTAATAAACATATAGGCATGTCTAACAATATGAAGATAAATACTAAAAAATTAGTGTAATTGATTAACATCAAGTACAGAAGGATACAGTGGGTTGACTGAGGAAGAAGACGAGTTAAATACCATTGCTGATTTTCTCTTGAAGCCCCGTGATCCGGGCTCAGCTCTAGGTTCTTCAGTCACGAGAGACTGACGAGAGCTAGGTCGGTGGCCAGTAACCTGCAGCATTTGTTCATCATCACAATGAGTTTGCCCCTCAATCCCAAACCTTTCCTCAATGGATTAACAGGAAAGCCAGTAATGGTGAAACTTAAGTGGGGAATGGAGTACAAAGGCTATCTGGTATCTGTAGATGGCTATATGAATATGCAGCTTGCAAACATAGAAGAATACATAGATGGAGCATTGTCTGGACACCTGGGTGAAGTTTTAATAAGGTGTAATAATGTCCTTTATATCAGGGATGTTGAAGAAGAGGAAGAAGATGGGGAGATGAGAGAATAGCATCTTTTGTGGGGAATTTTTTTTATATATATTTCTAGACAATAAAATTTATGTGTTTCAGCTTGAAAAAAAAAATACCATTGCTAATTGCAGAAGCTTCTCTCTAACAAGAGAGAGGAATAAAGGATTTCATAAAGTTATAATCCAAAAGTTACTACTAGAAAAAATACAATTTTAATTTCATAAATAAAACATAAATTTTTTAAAGACATCATAATAAGAAGCTTAAAAACTATAAAAACAGACAACATAAGGCAGGATAACAAAACTCAAACACCTAATTATAAATAAGTAACTGGTCACATAATGAAAACACTTAAAACTATAAAAACAGAAAACATTTAGATCAAACCTATCACTAATAAGCTTAATTCTAAAATAAATTAACGTAATTAACCAATTAACAATTTTTCAGATAAGGCCATGAAGCAAAATTCAACTCGTTCTCTTCAAACTAGGAGGCATAGAAATTTTCTCAACTTGATAAAGAATGTCTACAGAAACCTACAGCCAACATTATACTTAATGGTGAGAAACTACTTTTCCCTTAAGATCAGTAACAAAATGAGGATATTGCCTCTTAGCACCCCTTTTCAACAGTGAACTGGAAGTCCTAGCCAATGCAGTAAGACAAGGAAATGAAATAAAGGTATTCAGATTAGGAAAGAAGAAATAAAATTGCCTTTGTTCACAAGGGACAGGATTACTATGTAGAAAATCCCCAAAATGGACAAAAAAAGAGTTTGGAAAATTAATAAGTAATTACAGCAAGGTTGCAGGATACAAGATTAATAGACAAAAGTCAATCACTTTCCTATTACCCCCAATAAACAAGTAGAATTTGAAATGTAAAACAACAGAATTTAGGTTAGCAATCACCAAAAACAAACAAACAAAAAAAAACTTAGGTATAACATTATCAAAATATGTACAAAACCTACATAAGGAAAAACTACAAAATTCTGATGAATGAATTCCAAGAACTCAATAAATGAAGAGATAATCCATGTTCACATATAGGAAGACTCAATATTATTGTCAAGATTTCAGTCCTGCCCTGGCTGCTGTGGCTCTGTGGACTGAGTGCCGACATACAAACTGGAAGGTTATGGGTTCAATTCCCAGATAGGGCATATGACAGGTACAGGCCAGGACCCCGAATGGGGGAGTGTGAGAGGGAACTGATCAATGTTTCTCCAGCACATCAACGTTTCTGCCCTTCTGTTTCTCCTTCTCTTTCTCTCTTTCTAAAAAATAAATAAAATCTGTTAAAAAAAAACCTTTTAAAAAAAAGATATCAGTCCATCCCAAATTGATCTATGAATTCTCAGTTGCAATCAAAATCACAGCAAGTTGTTTTGTGAACATCAACAAACTGATTCTAAAGTTTATATGGAGAGGCAAAATAACCAGAAGAGCCAACACGATATTGCAGAACAAAGTCAGAGGACAGCCACAGCCTGACTCAAGACTTATTATAAAGTTACAGTAACCAAGACAGTGATATATCGATGAAAGAATGGGCAGATTTCTCAATGGAACAGAATAAAAAGCCCAACTAGACCCACATAAATACAGTCAACTGATCTTTGACAGAGAAGAAAAGGCAATACAATGGAGAAATATGCACTCTTTTCAGTAAACAATGCTGGAACAACAGAGCATGCACTTACCAAAAAAAAAAAAAAATGAACCTAGACACAAACCACACACTTTCCACAAAAATTAACTCAAATTAGACCATAGACCTAAATGTAAAATGTGAAACTATAGAACTCCTAGAAGATAACATAGGAGGAAATCTAGAAGACTTCGGGTATGGCAGTGACTTTTTAATACACCAAAGTCACAATCCATGAAGGAAATAATTGATAAGTTAGAATTATTAAAATTTTAAAATTCTGCTCTGTGAAAGGCACCATAAAGAATGAGAAAACAAACTACACACCAAGAGAATATATTTGTAAAAAAATCTGATTTAAAAAAAATGTTATCCAAAATACACAAAAAAAACTCTTAAAACTTAGCAATAAGAAAATAAATAACCCCTGAATTTAAAAACAGCCAAAGACCTGAACAGACACTTCACCAAAAAAGATACACAGAGTTCAACATCATATGCCATTAGGGAATTTCAAATTAAAACAAGTCTAGACAAAATGGCAGTGTAGTTGAACACAGCCTGCATTCTCGCACAACACATCAAAGTTACAACTAAACTATAGAACAATCATTATTCAGAACCATCAGAAATTGAGCTGAATGAAAGTCCTACAACTATAGATTAAAAAAGAAACTGCATCATGACTGGTAGAAGGGGTAGAGTCACAGAGCGTGCTGGTACTACACACAAATATGGTGGGGAAAATCATGAGGCATATCTCAGGAGCGAGGGGTCCCAGCCCTACACCAGTGGCCCCAGCTCAGGGTTCCAAAGCCAGAAAGACAAGTTGCCATAATTTTTGGCTGGAAAAACCAACAAAGCCAAGGTTGTGGAAGACAGAAACTGCTGGACTCCCTTGAAGTTCCTCTTAAAGGGCCCATAAGCAGATTTACTCAGCCTCATACCCTCTGAGTTCGTGTGGGGACAGCAGATTGAGAGGCATCAGAGATATATGAGGAGGAAATGAATTGTCCAGCATCAGGGTGAGAGCTGGAGGCAGCTTTCCCTAAGACAGAAGTGCTTTCAAAAGCCACTATTCCTTTCTGAGCCCTCCCCAAAAAGAGCCAAAGAGCTGGCAAGCAGTTGCCATACCTGAGACTCCATCAACCTGGTTCACACTGTGGCTCTACATTGATGATTCCTTGAGGCTCTGTCACACCCAATTTAAGGGACCACCTAAGCTGTTTCCAGCGGTTTTTTGATATGAATGGCCTGTCTTGGCTCATGCTTCAGATTTCCCTAAATTCTCTCAAACAGACAGCATCTGGGTTCAGCAAGCCCCATATCTCTCACTAAGTTGCCCCAGGACCAGCACTAGCAGCAGCCAAACTTGGTTCACAGCTTGACCTCACCTGCTCACCTCCAAGCCCAGCACAAGAAGCAGCCATCTGCAGATCACTTTGTAGCTTATGCTGTGTGACCTTACATAGAATGCAGGTGGTGTTTGACCTTAGATGTGCCAATAGCAATCAAAACTCAACTACAACAGGAGGGTGTACACAAAACACACAGTGGACATACCTGAAATACCCAGCTTAGGTAATAAGGGAGACCATGCCACTGGCTGCTACAGAACACCTACTGTATTAGGCCACTCTACCAAACCTGGGTGACTTAGTAGCTCTACCTAATACATAGAAACAAACACAGGGAAGCTGTCAAAGTGAGGAGACAAAGAAACATGACTCAAATGAGAGAACAAGACAAAACTCCCGAAAAAGAACTACACAACACGGAGACAAGCAATCTACTAGATGCAAAGTTCAAAACACTGACTATAAGGATGCTCAGTGAACTTAGAACTTCAACAGCATAAAAAAAATTATAGAAAACATAAAAAAAGAACTAGTCAGAAATGAAGGATACACTAATTAAAATAAAGAACCATAAACAAGG